AAAATTTTACTACCAGTTCTGTGGGCGTGGCTTATTTTGTGGGCATGGCTTGACGGTCATGTGACAATTATTTAGGATTTAGCAGAGGTACTGGTCTACCAGGCTTTTAACTGCTTGCAGAGCTGTACCGATCTACCCATTTATTTTTTGCAGGCACTGGTCTACCCATTTATTTTTGCAGGCACTGATCTACTCATGTATTTTTGCAGGCACTGGTCTACTCATTTGTTTTCTTTTAACACTGATCAGCTGTAGGGCGGCCCTTTGAAGCCACGCGGCAAGAGTTTAAACAGTTTTTTTCCCTCTAGCCATCAGCTGGGACTCAGGAGGCAGCAATAGATTGGGGGTGGGGCCAAATAAAAGGTAAGAATAATGTGGGGGGTGGGGTGGCGCGGGGGGGGTGGGAGGTGCTACCGGTTCGGGAAAACCGGGCCGAACTGGGAGGAACCCACCACTGATGTGTGGGGGCCACGCTTGCATGCGTGGGGGGCAGGGCACATGCACGGGGGCCATGCACAAATTGCATTTTGGGGGTTTGGGCGCACCCGTGTGTATTTGCATGTGCACATGCATGCTTTGGGCACTCAGTCCAGAAAAGGTAAGCCATCACTGATCTAAGGGCAGGCCAAGAAGCAATGGGTGGAAACCAATCAAGGAGAGAAGCAACTTAGAACTAAGGAGAAATTTCCTGACAGTTAGAACAATTAATCAGTGGAACAACTTGCCTCCAGAAGTTCTGAATGCTCCAACACTGGAAGTTTTTAAGAAGAGGTTGGATAATGATCTGTCTGAAATGGTATAGGGCTTCCTGCCTAAACAGGGGGTTGGACTAGAAGACCTCCAAGGTCCCTTCCAATGCCGTTGTTCTGTTCTTTCAATTCTTCCGTATCCTACTCCAGAATCATAACTATCAAACCAAGTAGAACTATTCAGATTTAATTATGAAAAAATCTAATGAGCTTAAGGGAAAATGAATAGACTGTACACAAATCATTTACAAAAAAATGAGAGCAACATTTTCTGAGGAAGAATATATTCAGGAACAGATTGCAATAGAAACAATAAGAAATAGCTTTTGTAAGAAAGTACCACTGCAACTGAAATAGTGAATGGATTGTTTAAAGTTACAAAAGAGGCAGTTAAACTGTTAACAAATTTGGGGAAAGATGGCATGGCCTAGAGTCCTAGATAATGGAAATATATATATACAGAAGAAAGGAGAGTGCAAATGACCAAACAATGGAATTAAGTCTTCATGCAAGGAACATTTTCCTTAACATCTTAGATAAAACAATAGATCCACACATGGACAAAAAAACCACTAGATGAACAATGGTTTCAAAAAAGGAAGAACATATCAGATGTCATAAGATAATGGAAATAGCAAAATATGACAAAAGAAGTGTAATTTATCGACTACAGCTATGCTTTTGATGGTGTATATCATCCCATAAATCTATACATTCAGTCCCACATATTCATATGTGATGAATATATTAAGATTAATAAAAAAGCCACAACTATTTCAAGAAACCTTCATAATGAGCAAGAAGTAGAAGTGAGTTTGGAAAAATGGAGCAGTTCAAAATAGGTAAAGGAGTGAGATAAGGATAGATAGCAACTCCCATCTGTCACATTTATACCACAACCATTGGTGAAATCTAAAATTTGTTACTACCGGTTCTGTGGGCGTGGCTTGGTGGTGGGGTAATGGGACTGGGTGGGCGTGGTCATTTTTTTTTTTTTTACTTTTAAAACCATTTTTTCTACAACCTCTTCGGCGAAGAGGTTGTAAAAAAATGCTTTCAAAAAGCTCTGATGATTCCAGCTGAGTTGCCTGATCGGCAGAGGCTTTTTTTCTTTTAAATGCCTCTAATGATCAGGCAACTCAGCTGGGATCGTCAGACACATTTAAAAGAAAAAAAGGGGTTTTTTTCTTTTAAATGCCTCTAATGATCAGGCAACTCAGCTGGGATTGTCAGACACATTTAAAAGAAAAAAAGGGTTTTTTTTCTTTTAAATGCCTCTGATGATCAGGCAACTCAGCTGGGATCGTCAGACACATTTAAAAGAAAAAAACCCTTTTTTTTCTTTTAAATGCCTCTGACGATCCCAGCTGAGTTGCCTGATCAGCAGGGGCTTTTTTTCTTTTAAAAACCTTTGATGATCCCAGCTGAGCCGCACAATCATCAGAGGCTTTTTTTTTTTTTACTTTTAAAAGCATTTTTTTTGGCCGAAGAGGTTGTAGAAAAAATGCTTTTAAAAGTTTTTAAAAAGCCTCTAATGATTGTGTGGCTCAGTTGGGCATGGGGGCGGGGGCAGGGATTTTTGCTACCGGTTCTCCGAACCATCCACCTCCATCGCTACCGGATGGGGCGATTCGGTCCGAACCGGGAGCATTTCACCCCGACCACAACTATATTAAAAGCAGTGACGTCTAGAACCGAAATCGATCGCTAGAGACAGAAACACTTGACTTGAGATAGGTAAGTATTTTGTTAGGCAAAAGTAAAGATGACTTAGAAGACCTCATTTGGAAAGTAGAAGTGGAAAACCAGGGTTCACCTTAAATAGGAACAAGAAAAGGTTTGAGCGATAGAAGATGGAAAATGATTTTTTGCATTCTTGGGATGAAAGATAGACATTGTAGGCACTGTAGGGATTAATTCTATGGAGGCAGGGAATGGGAAACTTAGACAAGATACGGAAGGATATTTTTATGACTGCAGAGATCAAAATAGTTAACATAGTGGTAATGGTATTAAAAGCTGGGCACTGAGAAAGAGCTAGTGAAAGAAGATTAATGGATTTGGAAATGGTTATTAAGAGTACCATGGGCTACAAGCAGTCAATCCTGGATCAAATAAAGACTATTCCCTTGAAGTGACCATCAACAAGGAGAAACTCACATTCTTTTGGCATATGGTGGAAGCAGTTGCTTGATGATAAAAAGCAACCAGACTTGGCAAGGTGGTAAAAAGTAAAAAAAAAAAGAGACTATCTCAAATAAGGAGGGTGAATGGTATCAAAAGATGCAGCGCTTTCCCTTGAGAGAGCTGAAGATATTTAACTAGAGCCAGGCTGAGTTAGTGATTGTTCATGCCATCACATCACAAGCAGAGTCCAAATCAGGGACCTGAAAGTAATATTCTTAATTAACAGGGGGCATCAAAGTGACATTTTAATCCCAAATAAAAAGAGCTCTTTGTTAACTTTGTTATCTTATATACCTGACACCAGGCTCTGATAATTTACAGTTCAATCAGGCACAATATCCCCAAACAATGGGTAAAAAGATCAAAAGTAATAAAACACAACATTGCAAGCCCTTAACGTTTTCATTTCATTCTGCAAAGCTGTTCTGTTTGGTCTTGCTCAGTATTGACTCAGAATGGGAAGGAAACACCCGAGATTCATAATACAGCCTGGAGCTGAACAACATAGCTAATGATAACAATAACAATCAAATAAATAGGCTATGATTACCCCCATCACCCCATTATAGTGCTTTTCTGGATACATAAAGTTTTTTCATGGAATTGTTTCTTACAAAGTTAGCTTCCCCCTCAGATTAAGGGGTGCAATTCCCAAGCTGCTGGCTTTTATTAAGCTGTCATACATATTACAAGGTTACTCTCGGTCATTCCTTGCTGACTTGGAGTTGCTTTGAGTTTTTCTCCTTGTCTCAGTAGCTCCAACTTGAGGCATCTTCCTAGAGAGCAGCCCCAAGAAAGGAGACCACAAGTCTCTTTTTGAGAAGGTTTTGATTCTCCCAAGCTTCATCCCAGCTTGGGCTTGCAAAGATGCTATCGGATTCCTTCTCTGACCTGGGCAGGCATCCTTAACATGGAGAACGTATAATGCTCAGAATTGCTACTAGGTCTGGTTGCAAATGAAGAGATTTGTAGTCCAGCAATGTAGGGGAGGAATTGAGAGTTTTATTAGTTCAACCAGGGGTTTGTAGGAAATAAGCTATGATCCTTGCAATTCTTCAGTAAGACATACATGCTTAAATAAGAAGGAAATATATGTACATTGTTTGGCAAGAGAGAAAGAGAGAGAGATAAAGAGAGAGATAAAAAAGAGAGAAAGAGAAAGATAAAAAGTGAGAGAGAGAAGAGAGAGGAAAGAGAGAGGAAAGAGAGAGAAAGAAAGAGAAGAAAAAGAGAAGAGAGTGTGTGTGTGAGAGAGAAGGAGAGAAGGAGGAGAGAAAGAAAGAGAGAGAAAGAGAAGAAAGAGAGAAGAGAGTGTGTGAGAGAGAAAAGGAGAGAAGGAGGAGAGAAAGAAAGAGAGAGAGAAAGAGAGAGAGAGAGAGAGAGAAAGAAAGAAAGAAAGAAAGAAAGAAAGAAAGAAAGAAAGAAAGAAAGAAAGAAAGAAAGAAAGAAAGAAAGAGGACTATCTCGGCGCCTGCTTTTGTCTACTTAAAAGCAACCAGACCTCTCCCCAAACGTGCCCAGTCCCAGCTCCTCTTCGCCCTTCGCCGTTCCTGCCCTCCTTGCTTCCTTTGCAAAGCGGCTCAGGAAGGGCGGCTTCTCCGGAGCTCCCCTACCCTTCGGGAGCGACCGTCCCGTTCCATCAAGCCAGCCACAGCAACCCCACCTCAAAAGCAGCGCTCGTGCGCCTACGTGCCCTGCCGGGAAACATCAGCCCTCGTTCCAGGGACGGCGAGAGTTTCAAGGGGACAGAAAACGCGCTCTCAACACTCTCAACAAAGTCCGCTTGGCTCGCTTTCCTTGTCCCTTTACCAAAAAACCCCAAAAGCTCCCAGGAAACAAAATGGGAGCTGAAGGGGCTTCGAGATCGGTGCAGAATTGCGCGGGGTTGGAGCCACAGACAGATCCACACACACACACACACACACACCGCCACTTCCTTCAGAAGCAGCACCAGCCGATCCCTGGGGCTTCGCTGCAATGGAAAGCAGCCCCTTCCAAGGGTCCCCCTCTTTCGCGATCTCTCCCCCCCCTCCCCAAAAATCCTTCCGTTTCTCCCCCTTTTACCTGCTCGCCAGTTTTGATCGAGGCTCTCTTTGTCTTTTAGATCCACCTGACGACGCCCGACAGCTTTCCGGGGCTAAATCGGTGGGGGGAGAGGGAGGGAATGTGGTGGGTTAAGCGGGGGGAAACCAGCCACCTCAAGTCTTGCGCGCTCCCCCAACCGTGACTCAAGAAAAGCAGGCGACGCCGAGCCCGATGCGCCTTATATAGAACCCCCTCCGGCGCTGTACAGCGAGGTTATTATCGGTCAAACTCAGCTTCCCTTCTTCGCTCCAGCTGCTGCCGCTGCTGCTGGTCTGTTTATGTATTTCAATCAGTCACTGTGAGCACGTGGAGAGGGAGCCCGCCTCTTAAAAGGGCGACGGCACTGGCCTGTTACTGGACAGCCTGGCTCCTTTATTGGGCGGGGTGGGGGGAGAAAGGCTCTTCGGTGACTTCCAGCGGGTCCCCCACCCCCACCCAGCTTCTTGGATGAGAAGCAAAACGTCTTCAATAGGAAGGAAGGAAAGAAGAAAAGAAAGAAAGAAAGAAAGAAAGAAAGAAAGAAAGAAAGAAAGAAAGAAAGAAAGAAAGAAAGTCTAGTTGCCTCCTGAAAAAAAGCACCTTTGGGACAACCATGACCTGGATGACTGAGAATCTCTAGAGACTTTTAGCTATAAAAGCTCTGGTGGCTCAGCAGGCTAAAGCACTGTTATTAACATCCATTTACATCTGCTGCCTGCAATTACTGCAAGTTCAAATCTCACCAGGCTCAAGGTTGACTCAGCCTTCCATCCTTTCTAAGGTAGGTAAAATGAGGACCCAGATTATGGGGGCAATAAGATGACTTTGTATAAATATACAAAAGTATGAAGGCTATTGCTTAACGCATTGTAAGCCGCCCTGAGTCTCCAGAGAAGGGCGGCATATAAATCAATTTTTTTTTAAAAAAAAAATACAATTTGGGATAAACAGCCTTCGAATGGTGGAGTAGGAATGGATTTCCAGAGGAAAAAAAATTGCAGACTACTGGGACCAGGAGCACTACACAAGTGACCCTGAGGACACAGATAAACTTCCAAGTGCTTCAAAGACCCTCTAAACTAAGGATGCAAAGGACCAGCTGTCTGCAAGGGATATAAATCCTTCCATTCCCCACTATCCTGTCAGAGCTGAAGAAGCTTCTTGGAGGAGAAGCGAAATGTCTTCAAAAGAAAAGAAAAAACAAGAAAGTCCAGGTGCCTCCTGAAAAAGCACCTTTGGGACAACTCCCACTCAGCTTTATCTTTCTTCGGAGCGGCTTTGAACCAAGAGCCAAGCAGCTGCCCAGCGTCTTTGCAAAATGCGCAGTCCTTTCGGTTACAAGTCCCATCACGTATCTTTCCCCGGACCCTGCTTCCTGGTGGGGGTGGGGGAGGGGCGAGAGGAGGACTGGCTGTGCGACACACAGCAAGGCCGCTGCTTGTGTTTTACCGCGGTGCGCGGTCACGAATGCTCGTTTTTCTAAAGGCAGAGGTTTTTTTTCCTTCTACTTTTCTCTTATCTGAGGGATCTGTTCTCTCTCTCACACACACACACACACACACACACGGTGCATCGCTTTGAGTGTGGGTCGCACACCATTCGTTCCCCTGAAACCGTCAAAAAGATGTGAGAAAGTGAAGTTGGCTCAGAATGGACACCACACGTTTGGAAAATTCTGAAAAATTTGGAAAAGAAAACCAAGGAAAAAGAAAGGAGAGGTTGCAACTTTTGCTGGTTTGTGTTTCTACACGGCTGGATTTCATTTAGTTCAAAGTGAATATTCCTTTTAGCAGCTGACCAGTGATCAAAACATTTTTCTTTACTTTATTCAAATACACACACACACACACACACACACACACACACACACACCTTGACCCAGTTGGAGAGATCTCAGGTGGCAAAACATTTCCATACAGTATCACTCAGTGGTGAAATCCAAATGTTTTTACTACCGGTTCTGTGGGGGTGGCTTGGTGGGGGTGGCAGGGGAAGGATACTGCAAAATCTCCATTCCCACCACACTCCAGAGGAAAGATACTGCAAAATCCCCATTCCTTCCCCATTCCTGGGAGATGGATATTGCAAAATCCCCATTCCCTCCCCACTCTGGGGCCAGCCAGAGGTGGTATTTGCCATTTCTCTGAACTACTCAAAATTTTCGCTACCAGTTCTCCAGAATCTGTCAGAACCTGCTGGATTTCACCCTTGGTATCACTGCTGTTACCTTGACTATACTTGACTATAGCAGTTTGCAAGTGATCTGCAAAGGTCTTCATTGCTGCTGGCCTCAAATGCAGGAGTGTGTTGAGATCACCAGGAGCCAACGCCTGCTCCAACTGACTAATCATTCAATCATGATCCTATTTCCTGAGCTGTCACGGTTCCTAAACAACAAGAATCCCTTCTCTCCTGCTTCATACACCACACCCACATACTTAAAAGGACACAGAGCCGTTGATTGATGGATGATATGCCACCAAGACATTGTTGACTCTTAGCAACCAAACAGATTTTCTCCCTTCAGCTTAAGTTGGTTTTGCAAATCTTGGACTGGTGCACCCATTGCCACTGCAACTGAGTCCATCCATCTGTTGAATGTCTTCTTTTTTTCTTCCATCTTTGTCAGCATTAGCACTTTCTCCAAAAAGCTAGGTCTTCACATAATGTGTCAACAGTAGGTGAGCCTGGTCATTTGTGCACATCGACACTTGTGTCCCCCACCCCCAATCAATGTTGCTATGATAGGAAGCTTTGCAAAACAGATTGTGATTCATAAGAAAAAAAGGAGTCACCCATGGTCTATCTTGCCAACTTCACTCTGCTGCATATAAAAGTGTCTGGAAGCGGGCTGATAACCACACTGGCATTTTTGCAAATTTTCTAACCACACTGCTGTAGTGGGGCAAAGTGGGAGATAAGCAAACAGGCTGAAGAAATTTTACTTTAAAATGATCCCAGCTGTTCATCCATACTGTTTCAAATGTTTGAATATTTTCTTGTTCTTGGTACCTTAGGAAAAGCAATATATATCTGCATTTTCTTCTTTAAATGAAGGTGGTTTTTTTTTTAATTGACTTCCAGGAGTTCTGACTTCTGGCATCTTTCTGGACAAGTCACTGCAGGATTGTTGTTGTTGTTGTTGTTGTTTTGCAAGATTTCAAAAATGGTTTGCCATTGCCTGCTTTCTAGGGTTGAGAGAAAGGGACTGGCCCAAGGTTACCCAGTTGGCTTTGTGCCCATGGCAGGACTAGAATTAATGGTCTCTCAGTTTCTAGCCTGAGGCCTTAAGCACTATACTAAACTGTGTCTATATATTATATATTAATATATATTATATATTAATTCTACCTTAGCCACTTCTCAATTTAATATGTAGGTAAGCCATACATATACAGTCTTCTATTGAAAAAATATTTTAAGGGCTGATCTGATGAAAGTTGAAAAAGGAAATTTCAGTAGGAGGTCTTGAGATTGCCCCTCAACATGAGCAGGCACCCAAATCTAAGCATGATCATCTCCACTATTGTGAGAAGTATTGTATTTTCATTTAAGTTACAGCACATATTTCTAAGTGGGAGTTGGTTTGGTGTGGTGGTCAAGTCATATAATTAGAATCTAGGAGACAGTGAATTATACTTGTGCCTTAAGCTCAAAGCAGTTACTTTCTCTCAGCCCTAGGCAACAGGCAGTGACAAAGCACCTCTGAAAAAACTTCCCGAGGACACTGCAGGGACTTTTTCAGGTAGACACCAGGAGTCAAGATAGACTCAAAGGGGCAAAAGAAAAAAAATGAAGTTACTGTTCTGTTTAAAATTAGAATATATAAATTTTAAATATTTTCTCTATACTTTTCGAAGATAATGCATTGTTACATCTTTTTTGTCATCTTCTTCAAATTAATGTAGGCAATCCTGAATTCAAAGCAGAGAGAGAGAGTCTCAGCTAGATAATTTAAATAAAAAGTTTCCTATTGCTCAGGCACTCGCTAAACAAGTAGTCCTAGGTTAGGGCCAAATAATTATTACGGTAGTTTTACAACCTAGAGAAGATTCTGCTTCTCTTTCTGGATTTTCTGGTGGAGAAATGTGTTGTGACCTAGGGTTACTGAGTCATTACAATACACAATTAGTCCCCCCAAAAACCTATTTTATTGTAACAGCTGAGAATTACTTTCATTCCCAGCTGAGTCCCAATCAGTTGCAAAAAAAGTCCTTCAGAAGAAGTCGTTCAGGATAATCACCAACCTTTATCTTCTTTGACATGTTGCCAAAGGCCTTACTTGGCAAAGCCCCACGGAGTTCAGAAACAAACAAGAGATGCTAACTGGAAACAGAGTTAGCAACGTTGCTTTCCTGCAAAAGGCCCAAGTGCCTTTGTTTCTCTTTTAAGCCTTATGGGAGGGGCCAATCATCTCCTGGCCTTACTCCTGAGTTGTCCCTTTTGCTTTAGCTGCTCTTGCCTTCTGGAAGCTCTGCTCATGTGTGCACTAGGAACAGGCTCCTCCTGTTCCTCTGCCTCTCCGCTACCCAACTCTGGGGGCTCCAGAGTCCACACATCACTCCCAGATGGCCCTAGCCCCATCTCTGCCTCCGATGCAGAGCCCTCCTCTGGGCCTTCCCCAGACTCCAGGACTGCCCAGCTTCCTCACTGTCTGACTCCAATGCCAGCTCCGCAGGCTGCTGGCGGACCACAACAAAATTACTAGTTCATTCAAGAAATATGCACCTCTGAGACAGACTATACAGAGCTTGCTCCTGGCCTTTCAGAAGTTTGCAAAACCTGCCTGTTCCAGAAGATCTTTTCTTTAAAAAATCATTTTAGCTCACATTTATTATTTTTATAAATAACTCAAGGCAGAGAACATAGCTAATATTCTTTCCTCCTCCTATTTTCACAACAACCCTGTGAGGTGGATTGGGCTGAGAGAGAGGGACTGGCCCGAAGTCCCACCCAGCTGCATGTTTTGCCTAAGGCAGGACTAGAACTCACAACCTCCTGGTTTCCAGCCTGGTGCCTTAACTATTACACCCAACTAGCTGTAGAGACAAGAATACTGCCAAGAATGTTTTAATTACTTTTCTATAATTAATAGTAATTTTAATTGTAATTATAAGACCGGATTTGTCTTACACTATAGTACTTTATATTATTGTAATGGTGGCTGCATTGGCTGTGCTTTTCGCTTTTGTTCATTGTTTCAAATCTCTTGACTCAAGTGCTTTCAAGTGACTAAACAAATAAAAGCACTCTTTCTCCACATAATATGGATAATAG